ACCGGCGACGATCAAGCCAGTATCTGAACAAGGATCAAGCCCCACGACATTTTTCCAAGCCGAAGCAGCATGGAAAGAAGGTTATGGTGTTGTTTAGTGGTCTGCAGCCGGGCTGATCCCCCATAGCTTCTTGGATCCGGATGAAACCGTTACAGCCGAAAAGTACTGTCAAGAAATTGACGAAATGTATCGAAAATTCCAGCTCATGAGCCCGGCACTGGTGAATAGGAAGGGGCCAATTCTACTCCACGACAGCGCAAGGGCCCACGTCGCACAACTTACCCTGAGAAAACTGATGGAGCTAGGCTATGAAACTCTCCCCCATCCACCACATTCCCCAGACCTTGCTCCCTTAGACTACCATTTCTTTAAACATCTCGACGGCTTTTTTAAGGAGAAATGCTCCAAAACCCAACATGATGCTGCCGCGGCATTCGACGATTTCATCGCCTTTAGATCTCCGGACTTCTATGCGAATAAGATAAACAAACTTGCTTTTCGTTTACAAAAGTGTGGCGATAGTGTTTGTTATTTCGACTGATGAACTTTTGTTTAAGCCGAGATACGTGCATTTGAAGTTTGAGGCGCAAAAACGCAAGAACTTTCTTCACGACCTAATACTTGTAGTAGCTTTTCTGGAGCTCCATAAATATAAAGGAGGGCTGTAGGTAGTCTATAAGATGTGTAAAAAGGTTTTGCAGGAGTTCAGGGCACGTTTTATAAAAAAGCAAAATAAGCGCCCGCACCAAGTATCCGAACCTCCGTGCCACGCCTACCACTCCGCCGCCCTCCCAGCTGCGCCATCTGGGCACGTTTCAGCACTAGTTGGTTCTCGTATAGAAGCAACAAAGTAACATGACACCTGGGGAAGGGGGCCCGTAACTTTGTTCCCAGAATCGTTTCGCAGATTTGGAACCCATATTCGAGATCAGCGTTCGAAACCACCTACGTCGGTACACATCTCATCTTGAATGGCCACTGCGACCTGGTATCCTTCCCTTGTAAGATGTCTACGTACATCTGCTGGTCCACAGTGTAGGGACCCTATGCCTAGGCTCGGAACATCCCCCAACCAATAATGAACCGACACCATGCCAAAGAGCTGTCAACTGGTACTTGGGATCGAAACTTGTATTTTATAATGTCGTCTACGAACGAAATCCCATCTTCACCAGGCAAAACAATCTTTGACTAGTCGCTCTAGATCACATCGACTCATTGGTCGAAGGTGCAGTGCAGTGAAGGTGCTTACGTGCCTATTGAAGAATGTTCACACAAGTCTTCTTCCATATAATCTAGCATCCCACAGGCGTCCGTGGATGGTACCCCTAGATGGTAGCGACGTTGCCAGAGTCTATATTTCGGCCATTATATCGGAAGTTGCTTGTCTGGAATCCTGGGTCGACGCACAAATGATCTTCCTATTGTATTTAGGAGCGGCAACCCGTGGCCTTCGGCGAGCTGGGTTGTTTGATTGGGCCTGTGAAAGACTCAACACTTCCGATGGCCTTCGTAATTGTAGACATTGATACAAGAAACAGCCTTGCATGTTGAGCATAGGCCACTTCCTGCTTACTGCCCCGTGGCAGGGCGGAGAGCTGCTCCACAGTCAGATAACGAAAGCCAGAGTTTCGTCTCTTAACTGAGAACAGATAACAGAACAAAAGAATCACTGATATTCCTAGACTCAAAAAACACGATGAAACCTACCTAAGGAACATGCCCCGTTCGCAAGTTTTTTGAAAAATAACTCATCCACTCGGCCGGAAGTGAGCTGACATTTGAAAAGGTGCTGCCATCATTTTACTATTCTTATCTTATTTGTGAGAGATTGCACGTTAGATGTTTCTATCCGGAACGTGAACGTTTTGGTTGTTGAGAGATGGTTTTATCGTAAAAATTTTTAAGCTAGAGAAAGCGATGCAGGGGTACGTGTCTCAACTTAAACGAGTCAACAACTTTCTGCATTTTTTCATCCTACACTGTCTTTTTAGACCGGATGTGAAGTGGGTATTCTGCATACGATAGGAATGGCATGAAGCTTCTGCGTGACATTCTTCCATCGCGATAATTCCGAAAAGGCGTGGCCGTTGCTTCCTTTTGATGGGTCACCCAGGATCACGACCCACCGGCAGACGAACCATTTTGATAGTCTTGTCTTTAGAAACATTGAACACTCTACCTCTTCCTGGTTTGAATTCAGTTCAATCTTCTTTTATACATCGTTTTAAAGCTTCCTATACGGTTATTATAAAAATCCCAAGGGATTTCATAACGTCCTTCCACCTCTCGCATGCCAATGATTGCAAGGCATTGGATGAGCCTCCTAAGCCGGCCGTGCGCGAGTTGCGAACGGCATTTGTTTCTTCTCTCCAACTTCTTCACACCAGGAAGCTTATAAGTCTTTCGAATCCTATCTGTATACAGTGTATTCAATCGGGGTAGACTCTTTCATCGAAGTAGAACATACGAACAAATCAGCAGTCATTTTACTAGTGTTCCTGCAGGTCCCGCACCGTACTCCTGCCCAAGCAGTTGTGTTCAGAAGAGGGGTAGTATGTGAGACGTTTTGAGGTCTGTGTTTGCATCGCGATTCAAAAGACTGTCATGTGGGAAATGTTGAAACGGTGCACGCAAAGACGTACCGGTTGGTGGATGTATGCGAGGCTCCACCGTTTTTCGAAATCTGACAACTTGAGATAGCAGCTATGTACATACATATATATATGTATATATGTATATATATATGTATATAGTGCGTTTCATAATTATAAGGTCACCCTCAAATCTTGCATTTCCAAAAAAAGCAATCATTAAGGATTTTTCTAGCATCAACGGTTTCCCCAGCACGAATAACCTAAGTATCCGTTTTTTAGCCGAAGCTGCAATTTTCTGAACTTTTTTAGAACAGTTTATCGGATTTTGCACTGTTTCATAATTATAAGGTCACCCTGAGAAAGTGAACAATTATTCATGGAGAAGAGGGAAATTTCGTGTTTGAAGGTGCTTATAAAGGTAAGCATGTGTAGCAAATGCATTTCTAAACCTGATTTTCAACATGGCTCGTGGTCGTCTGCTTTGCTCTGATGAGAAGGCTCATCATGAAGCTGGGCTCAGTACTCGAGCCATCTCTCCGCAAATAGGGAGATCCCCCTGGTCCATTCAAAGATTTCTGGAGAGCCCTGATGTTCCTAGATATAGCACCGACAGTGGATTCCCATGCAAGATTACTGCCCGCGACGAGCGGAAAATTCTGAGGACTGTTTCCAACTGTACGTCCTCCTTGAACCGGATCAGATCGGAGTGAAACCTTTCTGTGTCGAAAACTGCAGTCTGGAGAGCAGTGAGAAGATACGAGAACATCACAAGGCAAGCAATGGAGAAGGTGCCACGAATAACCGATCGCCACAGAGAGGCTCGATTCGGATTTGCAAAGATGAGCCTACGGAGAGATTGGGCAAAGGTAGATCTGCATCAAAATCTCACCATAGAGCTGAATAATTCCTATTCAGGTCGTCTTGTCGGATGAAAAGAAATTTAATCTGGACGGCCCTGACGGAAACAAGCACTACTGGCGCGACTTGAGGAAGGAACCAGTCTACCTCAGCCGTCGCAATTTCAGTGAAGGAAGTCCAGGTGTGGGGTGCATTCGGGTCCGGGAACTTCTCCCCTAACACGGCGTCGCATACGTCGCACCCGCCGCCTATCGCAGGATTGCGATGGAAGATTGGAGCGCGCAATTTGTGTGGAAGGGAGTCCTTTAATTATTTGAATTTGCTGGCCGCTCTCTTCAATTCCACTGCGGTCTTGATTGTCTCTAATATAGGAAGAATCATCCTAATTAATCAAGTCTAATAAACATGAAAACTAAAAAGAAACAGAAGAAAAAACGATAAAATCCAATGAAAAAGCAAGCCAGTCAAGGAAAAATATCGCGTCCTATCGATAGGCGGGAGGCGGGGTGAGTACGGTAATTGCAGTGACATTTGCCGCATGCCGCAAGGGAGAATGCCGCGATAGGGGAGAAGTTCCGTTACCCGGTGCATTCTGCAATGATGTTGTGTTGGATCTACCTCTCGTGAGCTGTAGACTGGGTTCCAAGGATTACCAGAACGTCCTGGAGCATCATCTAGTACCCTTTCTAAGCCATCGCCGTCACCTCAACTATATCTTTCAACAAGACAACGCCTCCATTCATGTGAGCCAGGCAACGAATGCGTGGCTGCAATGCCAATACATAAGCGTCCTGCCATAGCCAGCCTGCAGTCCCGATCTCAATCCGATGCAACATATCTGGGGCATAATAGTCAGATAGGTTTATGTGAATAACCGTCAGTGCCAGGGCACAGAACAGCTGAAGCGGGCGATTATCGAAACATGAAGAGCAATCGATGAGGAACATCTTCGAAACCTAGTTTCTAGTATGCCACGCAGGCCCTTTGATGTTGCTCTTAAACAAGGAGGAGCTATAGATTATTAACTGTTGTACATATGCCATCAACGTTAATAAATCTTTTACTTTCTCAGGGTGACCTTATAATTATGAAACGGTGCAAAAATCGACACTATTTCTAAAAAACTCAAAAACTTTTAGGTGAAGGATATTGCGACCTAAAATTTGAATGCAAAAATACATTGGATGAGGGATCTTCCAGTGTTTGCCAAAAAATTCCATTCCGGCTGCTTTAATTATGAAACGCACTGTATTTATATCATACATATAAACATATTCTCTTCTTATTCTTTAGCGTTTGTCCCGCTTGTAGGCAGGGTCCGCTTTCTTGATATGTTGACGCCACTTCTTCCGATTGAACGCTCGATCGGGGTGGATGCTAACCGCTTTAAGGTTTCGTGCAACGTATCGAGCCACCGCTGCTTTTGACGTCCTCTAGGCCGCTTTCCGGACACTTCGAGGTTGAGACCGATCTTACGGACACTGTTATCCTTTGCGCGAAGAACATGACCATACCATCGTAGACGGGCTTCTCGCATTTTATCGACAATGGGTGCTACACCGAATCGCTCGCTGATGGCGTCATTACTTATACGGCCTAAGCGTGTTACTCCGGCTGTCGAGCGCAGCATTTTGGTCTCCATCACACTGAGACGAACTTCAACTTCTTTTGCTGCAGGCCAGCATTCACCGCGGCAAATTGCGACCGGCCGGATGACGGTTCTGTAGATCTTAGATTCGAGACGCTCAGGCATGTTCTTATCGCAAAGTACGCCAGTCATCGAGCGCCACTTCAGCCACGCTGCATTCACGCGCGAAATCGTTTCGAAAGCCAGGCTGCCGTCAGACGCAATTGCCGATCCAAGACAATTGAATGTTGTTGTCCGTGTGAGCTCAGTACCATTAATCTTGATAGAGCCTGGCTCGCTCGGATCGGTGGTCAAGTTCTGAGTCTTTTTGACGTTCAACCTAAGCCCGAACATAGCTAGACGGTCGGACCAAGCTTGCACCTGTTGTTAAAGCTCGCCTTTGTCTTCGCTGGCGAGCATCACGTCATCGGAATGAAGAAGAGTTCATGGAGCCGGCTTCTGGATGTCTCTTGTGATGGTATCCATGACGACAGTAAATAAAAAAGGGGATAATGCAGAGCCTTGGTGTACTGGTGTGGAGATGGAAAAATCCTCCGATATGCCCGCCGCCGTTTGCACTCGGCTCCTTGGAATAGAGTAAAGGATGCGTACCCACTCGATGAGCTCTTCAGGAACGCCATGCTATCGCAAAGCATACCATATAACGTCATGCGGAACGCGACCGAAAACCTTCTTCTAGTCTAGAAAGGCAAAATTTACCGGTCTTCATTTCTGGCGATGCTTTTCTAATAGGTGTCCGCCGTTTTTTGCGTGAAAACCAAATGTACATTAACCAATGTATTGCCCATCGTTAGCTATAACTACTTGCCATCTTTCTGGTAACTTGTTGACTCCGCATCTAGAAAAGTTTTCATTTTTTGAGGCAATCCAGTTATCCACCCATTTTCGCACTTCTTCGGCATTCCGGAAGCGTGTATCTACCAAATTGACTTGCGTTAATCGGAACAGGTGGTAATCAGAAAGAGCAAGATCCGGAGAGTATGCGGGCTGTTTAAGCTGATCCCATCCAACAACTGCAATTTTTTAAGACATTCTTTGCAACATGGAGTCCGGCATGTTCGTGGTAGAACAACACCTCATGACACTTTTTGGCGATTAACGCCGCTTCTAGGTGAGAGCATCCCACAATCTGTCAAGTTGGTGTTCGTAGCGGTCAGCAGCAACAGTTTCGTTCGGGCTCAGCAGCTCATAGTACATAACACCCTTTTGATCACACCACCGAATGCATACCTTTACTTTTTGGCATTGGACATTCCGCTTCCGTTGCAAACTCTCGAGTGAAGAGAAACTATCTCTGCAATTTCGTTCAGTTGGAGCTTGTCCTCCATAGTATCGAAAAGCGTCCAGTGGGTTTCAATGCCAGTTTTTTCAAATCAAACAGCAGGAGAAGAGCCCCCGGAAAAACGATTTATCACGTCCCATGACCAATCAGTCTGAGGGCAACGGGATTTTGGGAAAAAACTGATTTGGCTGCCCTTAAATAGGTAGCCAATATCCTATCATTTAGAATATGACAGGTCTCACCGGTAAACTTCTAATATGTTTGCGCAACGACCCATCCAATTCGGCGGCGGAAATTAATGCACACAGCTAATTGAAAGCGAGTGGCGTGTACGGCATCGATGGTGCTACAACCCGCCGCGAAACCACCTTGGTTAGTGGTCAGGACGATATCACGGATACAACTGTCTACAATTCGCTCAAAGATTTTCATGCTTTGCGAGAGCAAGCAAATTGGACGGTAGCATGTGCAGTCCCCAGGACTGCCCTTCTTCTTCCATTTAGGAATCGTCGTGCACTGTTGCCAACTCTCAGGCATCTTCTTCTCTGCAACGACCCGGTTGTCAGCCATCCTGCAGGATTCCAGCCTTTCGATTTCCTTAAGTGCGTCGCTAAGTCGTCAGGACCAGTTGCTTTGCCCGATTTCATCTTCTTCAAAGCCGTAATGGTCTCATTCACGGTTATCTTCTGAACGGGACCGTGTACTGGCGGAGCGCAGGGAATGGCGGGATGAGTGAATTCTACTGTTGAGATGTTTGCGAAGTACTCTCGTCATCGTTTCAGTGTTTGCCTGCGGTCCGTTAAAGGTAATCGTTCTCGTCATTTATGCTGAAGAATTTTTCTATATCCTCGGTCTGGCGGTTGCGGGTTTTTGCCGTCGGCAAACGTACCGCTCACCATCACGAGACTGGAGTTTCTCATTACGATCGGCATAGTGAGCTGCCTTCTCAGAAGCAACAGCCTTCTTCGCCTCTTTCTTCACTATCTGATAGTGTTGCCAGTTGTCTGCCGTTTTTTCGATAAGAAATGCGTGGTACTACTTTTTCTTCTCACGGACTTCATCCCTAACATGGTCCGTCCACAGCCATGTTTGCTTATCGAGCTTTCGCCGTCTAGGCTTGGTCACGCCGAGCTTCGACCGTGCAACCCGGGTTATCGCTATCGCAGCTCCCTTCCAAGTTTCGTCGACAGTCGTTACCGCTG